GTAAAATGTGAGGCGATATATATCAAAATATGCATACATTAAGCCGATTATCAAGAGTCTTTTAGAGTTGATTACTTTTTATACATAGTAGACAAGGCTATCTTTTTTATTTTAAAATAGATTTAAACAATTTGAAGTATATGAAAATATTTTGGTTTTCTATTAAGTAATAAAAAACTGAGATCGCTAGATGATGGAAATTTTAAAAATATTGTCTTAATCTTGAATATTCCTTAAAGAATAATAATCAGTTCAATATTGATGATTTAGATTTATTCTTTGAATTAAAAGTGTTAAGAAAAATAGTACAATTAGAAGACAACAGTTTAATTGATATACTCAATCAAATAAAAATATTTAATTCTTTTCCAAATGCTTATATTGCTTATAGAATAATGCTAATAACTTTTGTAACCGTTTTCAGCGGAAAGAAATTTTTTAAAATTAAAACTGATAAAATCTTACCTAAGGTTAAATGGATTAGCTATATTGTCAATTGAGATAAACTTATGAGGAGAAATTAATTATAAAAAAATTATTAATAACTTTGCATCTAATAAAAGCTAGAAAAATAGACTTCAAATAAGAAAAACTATTTTTAAAAAAATATTCCCCTCATAAAGTTTGGCTTTAGGCCATAAAATTCGCTCTATTATCAAGTAAAGCTGCCACATATACCAGATGTTTACTAAAGGAGCTAAGTTTTTGTAAAACACAATAATACCAAATATCTCAGAACAAAATAAAACATTGGGAAGCTCCTTCTTCTTCTTGAGCGTTCCGATAGGAATGGTAGCAAATTTTAAAACAATCTCACTGAACCATTATTTCAAATTTTGTGAATGATCTCCAAGAACTGTAATCCTCAGGCGTAACATTGGAAGTGAAAGCATACATGCTTGGAATAAAATAAACCTTTTAACTGTCAAAACAAGAATAAGTAGCACCAATTTTCATTTCATTGCCCTTCTGTTAAGTACTGTGGGTCCTAACTATTTATATACTAATTGTAGTTAGCTGATTTGTATAAATAGTATAACCGACTAAGTGATTGTACAACTATTCATTTTTCTGTCTTTGAAGGTTAATAACAGAGAGCTTCATTTCCAGCCTTCTTCCTCTCTCACCTTCTAGAATCTTCACTTCCTCCATAGCTAGAGCTTCTCAACATAGTATCAGAGCTCAGTGCTCGTTTCTCTAAGCTCAACTGTAATAGAATTGGAGTAATTCGATTGCATTGGTAGTTTTTCAATCTCATCGATTGATCGAGCTATTTCTTCAACACATACGACTTCTTACCCATTCTAGGGTTTGGGAATTCTCAATTATCTGGTTGAATCTCGGTCGGATCGAGACTAATTTCGTAAGAAATCAACAAATTGAAAGTTTATCTCTCAGAAGCAATTTGTCTCTACTACAATGGCGATCAATGAAAAAGATAGTGATTCTCCATTTGCGGCTTCAATGTCTACGCCAACTACAAAGCTGATTGATCACAATCATCCTCTTTACATTCATCATTCCGATACTCAAGGTTCTGTACTCACTTCCATTCAACTTCAAGGTTTAGAAAATTATTCAATTTGGAGTAGATCTATGAAAATTGTTTTGCATGGTAAAAACAAATTAGGCTTTGTTCTAGGCACTTGTAGAAAGACTAGATATGATGCTAGTTTGCATGAATTGTGGGATTGATGCAATGCTATTGTACTTGCTTGGATAATGAACATAGTTTCACTTAGTTTGATCAGCTTTGTGATATATGCCTTCGATGCACACACTGTTTGGGAAGACCTCAAGGAGAGATTTGATAAGGATAATGCATCTAGGGCTTGTTATTTTCACAAAACAATTGCCACATTGACTCAAGGTATATCCTCTGTCTCAGTATACTATACTAAACTGAGAGAACTCTGGGATGAGTATGAAACACTAACACCACCACCCTCTTGTGGCTGTGCTGAATCAAGGAAACATGTAGAACATTACCAGATACATAAGCTATATCAGTTCCTCACTGGATTAAATGAATCCTATGAGAATGCAAAGAATCAAGTGCTTATGACTCGACCCTTACAAAATCTGAATTAGGCCTATGCTATGATAGTAAATGTAGAAAGTCAGACGATTAGTGGAAAAGGTATATATGCTGAAGGCAATGAAATTGCAATGATGAGTAACAAGATGTATACTGGAGGTTACAATGGTGGAGGACAATCTAATATCAGTTCAAACAACTCAAATGCAAGTTACAAACCTAGGAACTCACCTGGTAAAACTACAGTCTAATGTGATTATTGCAAATACAAGGGTCACACCAGAGAGAATTACTTCAAGCTTCATCGTTATCCATCTAATTTCAAGAACAAGAGAAGAGGGGGAGCTCCACATGCTCAAGCCAATAGTTCTGTTAATTCTGGTATTTTAGAGCCACAAGGACAGGGACATCAGGTGACAACTACTCCAGCTCCAGCTCACTTTTTCACTCAGGAACAATACCAGCAAATTTTGCATCTGTTGAACAAGGACAAGGAGGTTGAATCTGCAGCCAATGCTATTGCTGCAGGGCCAACATGTACTGTACATGCATTCATGACTAATTTAGTGCATAATAATTGGATAGTAGACACAGGTGCCACAAACCATATGGTTCATTGTTTGAATCTGCTAGAGACCTATGATGAAATACCAAAGAAAGCTAGGAGTAAGGTTCACTTACCAACTAGAGAACATGTGTCTATCACTCATGTTGGTATATGTTCTTTCTTTAAGAATAAGAAAATTCAGAACATCCTTCACATTCCAGAGTTTAAGTACAATCTCCTCTCAGTGTCTAAACCCACAAAGGAATTGAGATGTCTTGCAATATTTTATCCTGACTTCTGTGTATTTCAGGCACTCTCAAGTGGGAAGATATTGGGTATTGTAAGGAAGAGCTTGGTTTGTATATCCTCAAGGCAGATGGCAGACAAGTGTTCAATCAACAAGCTTCTTTTCAACTAGTATCTCTTTCTACTTCAACTGTAAATACCATTTCATATGACATCAATAAAGATAGTAACTTGGCAGATAATAAGTCATGTACTGTATTCTCCTTATGGTATCAGAGGTTAGGTCATGTTCCCTTGAAGATTTTGAGGTCTGTGAAAGTTTTGCATGATATACATTTTCGCCAACATCACTGTACTGTGTGTCCTATAGCCAAGCAATCAAGACTACCCTTTCCTGTTAGCTCCTCTTACTCTAAATCTGCTTTTGATATGGTTCATGGTGATGTTTGGGGGCCTTATAGAGTATCTACTCATGATGGAAAAGGTATTTCTTAACTCTGGTAGATGATTACTCAAAATACACTTGGCTTTTCTTACTGCACTCTAAGGCAGATACTGTTGAAGTATTGAAAAACTTTGTAGCACTAATATCCATACGGTTTGATAGCAAGCTTAAATGCTTAAAAACTAACAATGGAATAGAATTTCTTAATGATCAACTACAGACCTTATTGAAAACTCAGGGCATTATACATCAAACCTCTTATATATACTCCTTAACAGAATGAAATTATTGAAAGAAAACACAGGTCCATCTTGGATATGGCCAGAGCTCTCAGATTTCAAGCTCACTTACCTCTCAGGTTCTGGGGAGAGTGTGTCTCTACTGCAGTATATCTTCTAAATAGATTGTCTACTATTGTGCTACAAGGAAAATTTCCCTTTGACAAACTATTCCAAAGGAGTCCTTTCCTGCAACATCTGAGGGTCTTTGGAAGTCTGTGTTATGCTACCCAGGTGAGGAAAGGTGATAAATTCTTTCCCAGAGCAATTCCTGTTGTGCATATGGGATACTCATCCTCACAAAAGGGTTATGTTATCTATGATTTGTGCTCAAAAAGGTTTTTTGTCAGCAGGGACATTGTCTTCAAAGAAGAAGTGTTCCCATTCAAACATATGTCTTCAGGTGCATCACTTTTGTTCCCTGTACTGGAGCCTGTAGAACAGCCAACTCAGTCAGTTGTTGTTCCTGATGCCATTTCCTCACCAGCAGGATCTCCAACTCTTAACAATACTGATGTTGCTGACCCTAGTTCAATATCTCACTCTCCCAGTCACTCTTATTTGTTCTCACCAGTGTCTCCTACCACTTCAGCTTGTGAACCATCTGCCCTTTCTGTGCCACTCAGGAAGTCTTCAAGACTCACTAAACCACCTGTGTGGCTAGCTGACTATGTAGTTCCACCAAAGAAGTCAGTTTGTCCTTATCCTATTAATAATCATGTGGCATATGATCATCTGTCACCTAGCTACAAATCTTTTTTGGCTGCATTCTCAGCCATTGTGGAACGTAGGTCCTTTGCAGAAGCCAGCCATGACCCTAAGTGGGTTGAGGCTATGAAGGATGAGATCACTGCTCTTGAAGAAAATAATACTTGGTCCATTGTCTCTTTGCCTCCTATGAAGGGTCTTATAGGCTGCAAATGGGTATTTAAAGTTAAGTACAAATCTTCTGGTGAAGTGGAAAGGTACAAAGCCAGACTGGTAGCTAAAGGCTATAGTCAACAGGAAGGTTTGGACTATACAGAAACCTTTTCTCCAGTGGCTAAAATGGTTACAGTCAGAGCTATAGTTGCCTTAACTACTGCTTCTGGTTGGTATGTATTTCAGATGGATGTTCATAATGCTTTCCTTCAAGGAGATCTTCTAGAGGAAGTGTACATGCATGTTCCTGATGGCTTTTCAAGCCAGGGGGAGTGTCAGAAGGTATGCAAACTCCATAAGTCACTGTATGGGTTGAAACAGGCTCCTATACAATGGAATCTGAAATTAACTGAAGCTTTAGTGGATATGGGCTTTGTTCAATCTCACTATGATTACTTTCCTTTTACACAGAAAGTAGACTCATAACTGGTTGTTATCCTAGTTTATGTGGATGATCTCCTGGTAACTGGAAGTAGTCTAGCACTAATCAAACAGGCCAGGACAAGATTGCAAGAGAGATTTAAGATGAAAGACCTTGGTGAACTCAAATACTTTCTTGGCATTGAGTTCTCTAGATCTCAAGAAAGCATAGTAATGTATCAAAGGAAATATGCTCTTGAACTTGTGTCAGAGCTTGGTCTAGCAGGAGGTAAGCCAGCAGCCACACCTCTTGAATTCAATCATAAGCTCACATCCATTGAATTTGACAAGGAAATACCATATGCCAATACTACATTGGATAATGAACTTGAAGAAAAAGGAAGTTATCAGAGGCTAGTTGGCAGACTGTTGTACTTGACCATGACAAGGCCTGACATTGCCTTTGTGGTTCAATTACTCAACCAATACATACCTGCACCTAAGCTGTCTCACATGGAAGTTGCCTTAAGAGTAGTAAGGTATATCAAGACTGCACCTGGCCTTGGACTGTTCATGCCTGCTAAAGCATGCAAGGAGTTAGTTGCATATTGTTACTCTGATTTGGGTGCTTGTGTGGAGACCAGGAGGTCAGTGACTGGATATGCAGTAAAATTTGGTGCAGCATGTATATCTTGGAAGTCCAAAAAACAAGGAACTGAATCTAAAAGCTCTGTTGAAGCTGAATTTCGAAGTATGGCTTCTACTGTAGCAAAGGTGGTGTGGGTAACATGACTCTTCAAGGAATTGGGGACTGATATAGAGCAGCCTATACAGCTTCATTGTGACAGTAAAGCTGCTATACAAATTGTTGTTCATCCCATCTTTCATGAAAGAACCAAACACATTGATATTGATTGCCATTTTGTGAGGGAAAGGATTGTACAAGGCTTAATTCAAACATGACACATCAGAACAACAGAACAACGGGCAGATCTGTTAACTAAGAATTTGTGCAAGCTACAACATGAGTATCTCATAGGCAAGCTGTCATGACCCAAAATCCAATTAAAGACCGTGATGGCGCCGGACACCACTGTCAGGCAAGCCAACCATAATCAATTAACTTAATTACCCATTTTAGTATCTTTAAAATAAACATTTCTTCAATGAAATTGTAAAGATAAAACTCATAGAGTAAATGATAAATATTTTTAGCAACTAAATTTCTAAACAATTCACAACCATTCCCAAAATCCGGTGTCACAAGTGCATGAGTATTTACTAGGGAATTAACAATAAAATACAGCATCTGTCCAGAATACAAATTAGACAAGAAAATATAATAACTCTGAAGGAGACTCTGTTAGCTGCGGGTCGTAATAAAGAATGCAGCTCACCTATGTCCCCACAATTATTAACCACACCTCTGCGCCCACAAGGCCGCTATACATATATGTACTTGCACAATAAAATGTGTAGCAAGTGCAGTATGAGTACTAAAACAACGTGTACCCAGTAAGTATCAAGCCTAATCTCGAAGTGGTAGAGACGAGATAGCCGGCTTTGACACTCACTATGGGTCAATAATAATAATTG